GGACTTGCATTAAATCTAGTGTCGATAAAGCAAGAGATCGCAAATCTTTTGGTTATAGGTGGGAAGAAGTGGGAAAAATATATGAAAAATTGGGACAGGAAGTAAAATAGCCGTAAAGAGTCGTTTGATAATACCTGAGCTTGAACGTTTGGAATTTACACAAATGTGGAGCACTAACGTTCTGGAGAGAAAACTTGTAGGCGATAAGGCTATATTGGGTAATTAATGGTGATGGCATGCGCGCACTCACACACATGGCTTATTGCCACAGTAATGTTGAAAGAATTTCGATCAATATATAGGATTGCCCAGAGTATCAAGTTATCACTATACTTTGTCTGCCTGATTAACTTGATGTCTTATAAAAACAATAGGTCTGTGGATGACTGCCGATGTCACTAAAGCAAAGCTTGCCAAAAACGTTGGTTCTGTTTCTGGATAAATGACCTGTTTTAACTTGGTCGAAAATACCAGGACTGAGAGTTAGTTCAATGCTTTGAGCTTCTGAGTTCTGAAAGACCTGCAAGTTACGAATATTTCGAGAATTTGGATGAGGTCATGTCCCTCACATCCCTTGCTTTTTGAGCTGCTATCAGGAAATGTAAAGGCAAATCATCTTCTCAAACGTTGATTGAAGTATGAATAGAGGATGAGAGGAACAGCTAGTTTAGAGGAGGAAGCTGGGTTGTTAAGATGAAGTTGTGCCAATGAAGTAAAGAAATAGGCTTCCCAACTAATCCCTTTTTCACCGGCAAACAAATATTTTGCTGCCTGAGGGAATGCGTACATATGCTAGGCCAAATGCCCTGGAGTGGAAACAGGAATTCAACTATTTATCTCCTAGTTACCGACTAAGAGCTCTGGAGTAAAGAGAAGGAAAACAGGTGTTGATCCTTGAAAATCTGGCAAAAAACGAAGCAACAGCGCAGAAAGCATATGTAAATTTATTATCCCCTCTCACTTAAGAGGGAAATTTACTTCAACAGTTATTACTACTTTCGAAAATTACTGATTTGATATTACGTTATTATTTACCCGTGGCTTTTACTAAATCTGGGCGAATAACATGGATGATGCAAGGAAGCTGTATAGAGTATGTGTGCAAAACTAGGCTTAAGTGAAAATATGAAGAAAGTTTTTGATCAAGATCTAACTTGAGACTTGTAAAATGAGTGAATTATTTCCAGCTCTGATGATGTTCGTTATATGAGGAACGAAATCTCAGTCCGATTTTCATCCTAAACTAGGGAGGATGCCTAGTGGACTGCGTCATTCCGAATGTCGAGTTAAAGACAAACAGCTGCAGTAGAACGAGAACCAGCCGCCACTTTCTGGTGAGATTGACCAAAGATGCTCTTCATCATATACCTTTATACGAAATGAAAGTCTCTCAAAAATTAGATGAAAATGTTGAGTTAGTCATAGACTAGGGGGTCCGACTTTGGTTATTACAATGCATACAATGGACTTCGGAGTAGCTGTGTTCCTCCAGGTATTCCCACCAATATGACCAAGTTGAGAAAACAAGGTTAAATAAGCTCTATAGAAGGGAAGTAGACTGCGACCACACAAAAGTACACACCATCTTGGTCTTCATATCTCAGATTAAAAACATAAGAATTCGAATTGGGTCGAAAAACTTTGCGTCTGAGGTAATTCGTAATAACTATGTTTGTACCAAACTGGCGAAGGATAAGGGAATACATTTATTCAGTATAACTCTGGAGGATAGGTTTGAGCTATTTTGTAAAATGCATTCAATGTTGCCCTTCCAAATGGGATAAACCATTCTCTGGACATAACCGTTTAAGTAATTAGCTTATCTGATCGATTGCCCGAGGAGGTAAAGAATATTGTTGAACTGGAGATGATCCCTCATTTTGACCATATAATCTCGCCTAAGAAGGCTTGTGCTCTTAGCAGAGCTTCAAGAAATCTGTGTGCCAATAATATAATCGTTATGAAAGCAGACAAAGGCGGAGCAGTGGTAGTCATGGTTAGGTTAAGTTAGTAGAAAAAATGCTAGTTCATTTAAATGATACTGATACATATTTGCCTTTATTGTGAGAACTAACCGAAAGACTTACGACTAGGCTAAAGGATGCCCTTAAGGTATGCGTAAGTAATGGGGAAATGGAGAGGAGAAAGATGAATAAACTACCCCAGAGAGATGCAAGGGCCTCCACGGATTACGGTATCCCTGAGGTTCGCAAGTAGGGTGTCTCTCTAAGATTAATTTTAAATAATATAGGAAGCATGATGTGTATAATATCACGATTTTTATGCATACAACTAAGAAAGACTCTGGAATTTTTTATTATATTCACTTAAGGATTCTTATGCCTTCGTGAAATTGATTAATGAGCAGATAATTACAGAGGATAGGCTAGTAAGCTCTGGTGCTGTACCTATATACACAAATATTCATGTTCAAGGAGCCATTCAGGCTATATCACAAGCTCTGGAGGGGCATCCAAAGATCATACAAGGAATAAGCCTGAACATAGCGTCAATAAATAGACTTCTTAATTTATTTCTGGGTAGGTTATATGAAGAAACCCAAGGACGTGTAATGGACTGTTGCTTAGCTCCCATCTTGGCGGACAATTTTATAGCTGAACTTGAGGAATATGAAGATAAACTGGGTTTTCTAACAATTCCTTAGTGGAATAATGTAACATGATGTTCCATTTCGAAGGATAAGATAGTTGGAAGGAATTCGCGATGTGGCCTCGTCGGAAACCGAAGGAGGATTACGGCGTAGCAAAGCCATTTTCTGTGGTAAAGATTGCCAAGGTTCACAGACGAGTCCGATTATTATATCGGCAAAATGTCTCGGAACGCACCAATTTTATGGCACAATGCAAGACGACACAATGGCAGACGCCAGATATTGGGCGAGGTAGGTTCTTTGAACGGAGGAAACGCATTCATATTAGTTATATACATATTTTTCGTCTATAAGTAGGTTTTTGAGACTACCAGTAAATCATATATATGATATGTGTATGTGTATGAGTAAAGGTTGCGTTTCCATTAAACATCACATTGCCTTGCTTTCCAAAAGAGTATTTTCATACAGGCTGAATTAATATACCTTTTGGGAAAGCAATGCCATGTGAAATTCAATGGAAACGCAAGATTGTGGGAAAATTCAACTGCAAGTCTTTCCTCACCTTTAACGAAATAGGATGAACACATCTCATTGACATGTTTAGCAAAGGAGACTGCGACCAAAATAAGAACCACACTATATTGAACTTGATACCTACGATTAAGCAAATATATTTCCTATTCTCAGATGATCTTGATGACCTTCATCATACATCATTTTTCCATTTTCCTTTTTATCTGGTTTCCAAAGGTCTGACGGTAATTCGTATCGTTAACGAGCCAACTGCAGCAGCCATTGCGTACGGCCTGAATAAAAGACTTAGCGAGACAGAGGACAGCCAACAGAAAGAGCGTCAAATCCTCGTTTTCGACCTTGGTGGCGGTACCTTTGATGTATCCCTGCTTACCATTGATGAGGGCGTCTTCGAGGTGGTTGCCACTAGCGGAAACACACACTTGGGTGGCGAGGACTTTGACCAACGCATCGTGGATCATTTCGTCAAGGTTGTTGGCTTATGGTGTGTCTTCATAGGGCTGCATGTGTGTCTGAAGGGCCAACTATTTTGTCGATAGTTCACATGTAAAAAGATTTGGTACACGATATGCTAGGTCCGAGATTTGTTATAAAAGCCTGTTTCCATTTGCTACGGGCCGAACAAATCTCTTATTCTTGCCTTCTATTCTCTTAGGCTACATATAGCCTGAATATGGGGTGTAATCACCAAAGGTAGCCTAAGGTGACAGAAGTAGTTGAATTTTCCCACAATCATATCATAATGTCTCTAGATACATGCTGATTTTCACACAGCCTTCCCTCCCAAAAAGTATTCTAATGCAGACTAGTCTAGAATGAAGCCTCGACTTTACGCCAGAGTCTCATCAGCAGCCCCGACGGGACTCGAATTCGGCTAGTGAGGCATATTAATTCGACATCTAGGCATTAAGCCACCTCGTTTCTCTTTTAAGGAGCTGATGAGACATAAGTGAGTTAAAAACTACCGTTTCTCCTGGATGGCAATGTCATTTGGGAGAAATGGCTGGAGGTACTTCAATAGTTAAATTTAATTGAGTCTTTTATGACATTATGCAACCTGGGGTGACTACGGTTATCTTTCAGGATCTACTGTTATCCGAAGGGATTGGTTTGGCCTCTCTTTTTATTGTAAATCCCCTGCATCACTCAACGTCTTGGGTACTCCGAATAAATTTAAATCTTATGATCCTCTTTGTGTTTCTAATGGCCAAACCTTTTCTCAAAATCCACTATGAATTTTCAATAATTAAAGAAGCGCAGCTGAACTTTTAGATTTCAAGAATTCAACAAATCACTCATATTTTTGTTTTAAAGTCATTATATTAAATAATGGGCCGGTAAATATATAGAAGCCAATAAATCCTGCTATTTTTCAAGAGAATCGGACTCACCAAACCGAATGGAATTAATCCATGAGCATTTTTTAGATGTTGTAAAGAGAAGAGGAAAAGGCAATGATAATCGGAAGGAGGTATTGTTCCACGAATAAGACTTACTCTTTTGTATAACAACTGTATTTACTCTAGGTCGCATAAGGGGATGAAGGAGTGATAGTTGAATTTTCCCACAAAAACATTTTCCCACATGAGTAGGTCTGACCTTCCCATTGAAATTCATATAGCCTTGCTTGCCAAAAACTATTCTCATCCAAAGTGTGAATTTCGATGGAAACGTCAAGCCTGCATGTCGTCTCGGTAAAATTAAATTATCAGTCCTGCATCCCCTTATGTGACTTTGGATGATTGCAGCTCTTATTAAAGATCTACTGAAAGTAACAAAACCCACCCATTTGGCACGTTTGTTTGTTCTGATGATTTTTGCTCCAATATAGAATAATGCTTCTATCAACCCAACGGCAGTCACAGTGGCCGATGTACGTTCTTAGATGATCTTTCATTAGAACGGGTCTACTAATATATTTTCCAATTGTCTACATCAAATAAGCCATTTCAATGGTTAAGTCCTTTCATATTGCACGTGAGATTGAGACTGTAGTATGGCCTGGATGGGAGAACTTTTTGGGAGACACCATACGACCTACTTATTTCATTTTAGGAAAACTCATCTATCAGTATTTGAATCACCTAAGCGGCCTACGGTGAATGTGTTCTTATTCAACTATTTGAAATCTATTTGCATCGATGATAATTGTATTCACTCTATTTCGTGAAGGTGATTAAGGACTAGTAGTTGCATTCTTACACATTTATATGAGTATATCTTACTTTTCCATTGAATTTCACATAGGCTTACTTATACAATTGTGGGAAAATTCCACTACCAGACCTTCCGCGCCTTAAACGAAATACAGTTAATATCTCTCATACAATTATCTTCGATGTAAATGGATTTCAAATGGCTGAATATAGTGAATAAATCTCATAAATATTAGCTACTGGGAGTTACGAGAACCTAGTTATAATAAAAATGAACGAAATCCCTTTTGCATTCCTCCTACTCGCGGCTGCGTTTTCGGCGAATTTCTTATCTCTTCGAGTTTAAAACAGATTAGTGACTGTGATTTTCCCTAGAATGGCAACTTAAATTTCCATTCCCACTTTCTATGCTTACACATTTACATTACACATTACAATGTTTTAGTTATTTTGAAAAAATGTTTTTTCCCTGATATCTTTCCTAGTATATCATAACATTCTTGCCAGCATGTAGTGGGCATTCATGAGGCCATTCTTGTTTAAGTTAGTCTCCTGCTTGGGGGCATCACCAGTAAACTAACAATATGTTGCCATGTCTAATCGTTTGTAATTACATAAACATCAGGCATGTATCCTCCAATTTTTCAGATATTCAAATCGAAGAAGGGCCACGACATTAGTTCCAACAATCGAGCCTTGCAGAAGCTTCGACGTGAAGTGGAAAAAGCCAAGCGAATGCTCAGTAAAGAAGTCTCGACTCGCATTGAAATCGAGTCACTTGTTGATGGTGAAGACTTCAGCGAACCTCTGACACGAGCCAAATTTGAGGAGCTCAACAATGTAAGACCTTTAGTCCTTGATTCATTTAGAATAGTTAAACTTTGCGTCAAGGAAGTAGTAGTAAGTAAGTAGTATTTCACCTTGATAGTATATCTCTTTCGCTTTTTAGGTAAAATGCATGCAAAATAGAGGGATCTTATGAAAACTGCTTTCGATTAAATGTGACCAAATTATAGCCCGGTATTTAGATAATGAATGGAATTGCTCGCTTGAAGCAAAAAGAGCTGAAGGCTAAGCCTTATTTTCCGCACAATTTCCATTTATTCCTTATTCCAAATGCCATTTCTCACCCAAATGAGATTGCGATTTCCTGCGTTTTAATGCCAATTCTAAATGGGAACTACACAAAGTCTTTGACTTTCAATCTGTGCCCGTGTCCCTTAGCTTACCGGACCCGTTATCCTAAATTTGCTACAAGAGTGATGCGAAATTCGGTGCAAGGTGAGCTTAGCTCAGCCCACACCAACCTTGAGATATATCGATAAAAGAAGCATATATTTTTCATCAGATTGCTTTCTGTTGCTGTTGCTTAATTTTCGCCGCATGACATCAAACCACACGCCATGACCTTTCTAGCTGTCCTCGAGTACATTCGGCCTGCTAGGGATGCCCTTGTTCTGCTTAATTTTGGCAGCAAATCGTTCGGGTTTCATATACAGCGTTGGTAGTTGTTGAAACTGTAGTACTTTGGCCCCAGTCAAGGGCTGATAGTGTTTGCCCATCTTTGGAGTTAACCAAGAAACAAATAAAAAGCATAAATAGGTTTTAATGAAGAATCTTCTGCGATAATATGGGTATGGTGAATTTCATTTAATGTAAAATTGCCAGATTAAAAGATTCGGAGATCGGCATATTCAGAAGGC